CCCATCTGGATTCATTTAAGCAACAGAACGTCAGTATGTTTCGTGACTGGCTTCAGCATAAATAAACCATCTAATGGACCACGGAACAAAGAACCTGGTATCTAGACCGAGTCCCGCACAGAATCGCATGGACCTCATGACCGCTTAACACATAAATTGATAATCCCGTCAACAAAAGAGACAATTTTATAGCTCCCTGTCCAGCAGGAGAAACTTGGCAGACTCTCAACTCTGACATGAGGATGACCTCAGGACACCTCCCCTTTTCCCCCTTTGCATTCCAAAGAAAAGGACGATTTTTACGACAACCGTTGAAAATCATTGAAAGTATCGAAGCATAGATTCACAAATAATATGTTGTATGTCTTTTATATATATATATATATATATATATATATATATATATATATATATATATATATATATATATATATATATATATATTTTTGATGTGTTCATTTAATCGGTGAAACTTTAATCAGTGTTTATTACCCCTTTTTAGGAAATGAGGTTATTAATATGTGTGTGAGAGGTGAAGTTTAGTATCGAACGGAAACTTGTGATGATTGCAGAATTTTGAAATAAGTGAAAAGCTGTTATTTCTGACAGTATGTGTTGTAGGACACTATATAGGAGTTATAAACAAAACCTGCAAATCTTAATTTCTCCACATAATAAATGGGGGGGCCTCTTGTTAATGTATGCATGCTCCGCCTGCGCAAGAAGGCGATTGGAAGGTCGCGTCGTGGGACGGACTTATGCAGCGGAACAAAACTCAATGCAGAACAGATTTGCTTGCTTGCTCTCGCCTGTCGCCGTGTTAAGAGCACTCCAACGTGTGCTCACGCGTTTACCATCGAAGCGACCAGTCATCTAAAACTCAACACTTCAGTGAAACACCGTTGAAATCTTCAAAGAACTTAAAGTCTTGCAAACTAAGACTTTTCAGCAGAACTGCTCAAGCCTCTGCTTCATCAAGAGACCAACCAATCCAACAAGGGGTTTCCCAAAGAAAAGACGTCATTTCGACGTCACCTCAGCGACCAATCAGCAACGAGGTTCCCTCAACAGACATCCAGGAAGCCCGCGTCAGCGACGGAATCACCTCAGCTTTTCAGCTGTCAACCAAAAAGAACGCAAGTAATGAACAAACTCTTATCTCTGCTGAACTGGTTTCGCACTAATTTAAGCAGTAAATTTAAGACAAATTCTCTGCTTTGTAAATCCTCTCAGGTGAATTTAGATCACTCGTGAAAACGAGTTTAGAACTTGGAAACTTCATGCAACTCCGTCAACTCTCATAAAATAGAAACTGTATGTTTGTGTGTATGTGTGTTTTAGCATAGTTCTGATGTATTCTAGAGTAGCCAATAAAATTCATGTTTCATTTATAAAGAATCAATTGTCTGGTGTTATATAATTTCAAGGTTAAAACTTTTGCCAAAAAGATCCTTTTGCTACCTAGCTCATAGCTTACTTATAATACCTCTCTAAGAGCTTACAAATGATTATAATCGTGTTAACCCGTGGCCAGGGAGAATACAGATATTCAAATTGTAAAAATATACTAAGAATCACCGGCTCGCTGGACGACCCTTGATTTAAAGTGTAAACTATCAG